CCATCCCTGCCAATGCTTAAGAAGTATTTGGACAATGCCTTTAATTAAACTTTTGGTAGGGCAGTGGGACTAGATAATCACTGCAGGTATTTTCCAACTGAAAACTTTATTCTATTCTATTCTATTCTATTCTATTCTATTCTATTCTATTCTATTCTATTCTATTCTATTCTATTCTATTCTATTCCATTCCATTCCATTCCAAGGGTAAGGTCTTTGTTGATCCCAGAGGAGAGAACAGGGGGGCAGGCAGGGCTCGTACAGGTCAGAGAGATCTGAGTGCTTTAACTGAGACAGATCCCCACTTTCCAGCCCCCGGGGAGGAGTTCTCCACATCTGCCTCATCCATAAAACATCCACAGGCAGGAAGGACATTCCCAGCAGGAGCTGCCCATATGGGAACAGTGGGGATTCCCTGCAGGTGACAACGGGACCTCTTTGCTGGAGCCAGGCTCTAATCAACCTCCTCCTCCGGGAGCCGGGATGGATTGTCAGGTCTTGCTGTCAGCTGCTGAGATCTGGACTTAAGCTGGGGGGACATCAGGTAAAATCTCCAATGATTTCAGCAGTTTACACAGGAAAATTTTACACATGAGGAGAAATCAGTGTTCCCTTGCCCCGTGTTTTGCTGTCGATCTCTCACCACATCCAACCTCTGCTCTCAGGGATGTCCAGATCAGACAACAGGGACAAACACAGGTGGAGAAGTGAGGAGCTGGAATGCAGCACACGTTCCTGAGAGGCAATGAAAACGCACTCACACAAATCCCTTTGCCATTTCGTTGGCAAATCCAACTCCGAGGCAAAACCAAAGCCAAACAGCTTTGTCTGCAAGAACAGAGCTTGGGTCATAAAGAGCTGAAGATGTCAAGGAGAGGTTTGAGATCTGCCCCTGGGCAACTACTCACAGCTCTTTATCAATCTCTGGAGCTTTCATGGCCACTCAAGCTCACCTCAAACATAGGAAACGAGTTATCAGGTTATCTCAGCCCTGGGTGAGATTCTAGGGGAGAGGAGCTGTGCCATCCAAGAAGATTCCAGCAGCAGGGAGAGTGGAAGTTAATTTCTGTGCCTCTGGTTCCTCTTCCACATCATGGACTCCACTCAGGAGCCAGTCAGGCACAAATCCATGCAGAAGCTCAGCCCTGCTGCAGAGACCAAAGCATGTTTTGACCAAAGAACACACCAAGCATGAAGCAAAACTTCCCAACAACAAGAGGAGTTTGGAGAGTGTGTCCTGCAGTGAGAGATTTATGGAGTCCAGCCTGCTCAATGCAGCAGGGGTGGAGATGGAACTTGTTCATGGGCTTCTCCAAACAGAGACCAGACACTCTGAGACACCTTAATCAAGGTAGCAGATGTGGAAAAGCACCTAAAAGTGGAAGATGAAACACCACTAACAAAACAGAAGTGATGATCATGTGTGAGGAAGGGGGATTTGATTTTGTTCAGAGCAATGGGGACAGCAAAAGAATGGAAAAAATTCAGCAGGAAAGGCAGGAAAACCCCCAACACTTCAGTCCAGCATTATTGTGTTTCAGTTATCCATTCATCATAAAAAACCCTCCAGCCCTGGAGCCACTTGATTTATCAAGAAGCAAATAATATATTTTGAGGGACACTGTTAGTCTGGTTTTCCAGTCAGCATCCTGGATCCCTCCAAGGTGGGGACATGAAGAAGGAGCAGAGAAGGATGGCTTTTTGGGCCACCAAAAGGTGACAGCACTGCAATGGTCTTCCAGGAACAGCTCACACTGAGAGAAGACTAATTAGACATTCATTAAGTGCCTAACTCAGCACAGCACTTAAGCACACATTTAACCTTCTCTCATTACAGGGTCACATCATCATCCCTGGTAAAGCTCCAGCTCTGATTACAGAAGCCAGCTCACATTTGGGAGGGCCACCAGCATTTTCAGGCTGTGAAGAACCAATGCCCAGCATTTCAGGAGGTTTTCCCTTCTTCACCCTGCTGCACTTGCACCTCAAACCTATTCCAGAAATGCCAACTTGCATCCCGGAAAAGTGAGTTTACATCTAAACATCCAGACCTACAAACCTCTGCCTTCTTCCCACATTTCCTGAATTAGCCAAGGGAGATCTGATAATGGACAAAGATGGTTTCCATGTTGGAATTGTCTTCTCCTGGAAAAACATTCCCAGTTCAAGCTGCCCGAGATTTCAAAGCATGTCTTTCTGATCGCCATGACAAGCTCCATGTGCAGCAAGACCAAAATATCTGAGTGATAAACCTGAGGGATTCTTCTGCAACTCACCACTGCCTGCTGTACCCTCTGCAATGTCTGTGTGGGACAGTGAGTGCAAAGAGAGTCTCACTAAATGTGGGAAGCAAATTTGGAGCAGTTTCTCCTTCCTCCAGACACCGAGGAACAGATGCTGTGCATAAGACAGGGTCACTCTGGCAGAGTTTCTTTATGAAGTCTGTCAATAAATGATCATAAATTTCCCTGTGCACCTGAGCCAGGTGTAAAATCACTGGCCATGAGTGAAAGCAGGCTGTCAGTTGTGTTTTCTCGACAGTCCCTGTAGTTCTGGAGCAACGGGATCTTCTTGGAGTGAAGCTTTTCACAGGGATCTCACCCACAGACTGCGAGCCAATCTCATCTCATTGTAGATTTGCACCCATCCATTTGCTTCGGGCACACCCAAGGAATAAAAAGGCACATTAGGGAAAGTCAGGTTTCGTATTTCAGGATGGTTTGAGTTGGAAGAGACCTCAAAGACCATCCCATTCCAACCGCCTGCCATGGGCAGGGAACCTTCCACATTCCTTCTTGTGCCTTTAAAGTCATCAGAGTAGATTAGTACAACTCACACATCTCCACTTGTTCCAAGACGAAAGTGTTAAGACAGGCCCAGAAACAACAAATGACTCAGAAAGCAGCAGGGAGGGAAAAATAGCAATGATAATAAAAAAAAATTAAAAAAAAAAATAAAAAAAGCTTGTTGGGGAAAAAGATGCTACAAATACAATCAGAACAGCAATGATTGCAATAACCAGCATCAGCACTTGGAAATCAGGAACCCTATCAAAATATTCCACCCACAAAACGCTGTTAAGGGACTGCTGACTCCCTGTCCAAATTGGATCTCGCCTCCATCTTCCTGATCAAGCCTTTGCATAAATCAAAACAGACACAGTGACAGACAGAGCAGCACATGGAGAGCCCGGGCACCCTGCAAGCATCGTTTCTTTGTGGATGGCATCCCACCAGCCAAGATGATAATTCCCTGTCTTCAGTAGGGAGCAGATGTGAGCAGCCAGCAGAAAAATTATCTCCACTCTACAAATATTTGACACCCAAAAAGGATTTTGATTCAGCCACCCTTGAGCCTCTTTCATATTTACTTTGTGGGAACATTCAGGTACTCGAGCTGGACTAGGAGAGATCCCTCCAAAAGCCAATATTAAGCTTGAATGCTTCAGGATTTGCTGAAAATCTTATTTCAAATTTCACCTTTGGTTGCAATGAGAAAGGTCACACTGCTTGGGTGGAATGCATAAATCACCCAATCAGCAAATTCCAGGCATGACACATGACTGAACTCCGAGGAGGCTCCTCAGGAGCTGTTCACACAGGAGAAAAGGGCATTGCAAGAAAAAAAAAATTAGAAAAAACAACCCAAATCTGGAGAGTCTTGTGCTCGTGGCCAGGGAGGGAAGCACGACTGAAGAACTAATTTGCAGGATTTATGGTTCGGCTGTGCCTTCATGTATTGATTCACAGATCAGTGAGAAACAAAATCTCCCCCAAAATACACCGACGAAAGCACGAGTACCTGATCATATCCTAATCTCTCAGCTAATGCCAGGCTGCAGTCTGCAGGAAAATCACTCTGCTCTGCCTGAATCTGTGCCTGGTCACCTCCTTCCTACTGCAAAAACAAATCTGGCCTCTTCCCCACAACCCTGAGAAACCCCACCCTCAACAGGGGTGAAAATCTCAGGCAGGGTCCCCAAATTCCTGACCCAGACAGATGTCAGCTTTCTGCTAGCGGGAGAGGACATTTCAGCCCAGCACCTGAGCAAGATGAGACCTTGGGGTGCGGGTCAGGTGGGAGTCTGAGACTCACTGAACTGCAGCCTCCATTCCCTGCCACCTGCGTTCCTATTTAGCATCACCCCTCAGCTTTACATCACCTGCGTGCTGGGAGCTGAGAACAAACACCCCAGAGCAGACCTGACACAGGTAACGAGAAAAAGCTTCACTTTCGGACCCCCCCGAGTCCCTCCTGCTTGCCAAGGCTGTGTCAGGTCTCTGGAAGGAGCACTTTCCTCCCCACAACAAAATCAGACTTCAGGATGATCCCACCTTGACTCACAGCCCTTTTCACCGTGCCTCTCCCACCTCCCCTGTCCCTTTCCAGCCCACACCATACTCAAGACCACAATCAAAACCCAGTCAATTATCTGAGGAATGAGCCCCAGCAAAGGCACCAAGTAACCCCATGGAAGCAGCGTGGCGAATTTTCTCTCTGAAAGCCTCCAGAAGGAAAACGAAGCTGAGAACAAAACGAGAGCTTCTTCTGTTGCCATCCCCTTGAACCAGGCCCAAGAATTAAGTTTTCCCTAGGAATTAAAAGCGGTTGATAGGGCTGGTGAGAGCAGCCCGCCTTGGGAGGTATCTTGGATCCTGCTTTTTCTAGGACATCTGTAATTATGTTGGGAAACTGCTCACCCTCAGGTAAGAAGTTCCCTCTCAGCAGCTCGGAGGCTGCAGGAGTACAACAAGCAATGAACGAGTCCCGAGAATGAATGCAACAACTCGGGGAATATTTAGGGGCAGCTGATTTGCAATTCCAGTTGCAGGCTCACGAAGAGCGGGTTACCTGAGCTGCCTGTCGATTGGGAAATGAGGTTTTTCATGCCAGGCATCCACAGATACGGACACAGAGGTGACGGGGACAGCGTGCGACCCGTGAGAGGAGAGCCCAACCAGCCCTCCCTCCTCAGCACCCCCCGACCACCCTCCACTCACCCAGGAACTCCGCTCCGTTGCTGTCCTTGGGGCTGCTCACGCAGTTCTCCAGGTAAATTCCATCCTTGTAGCAATCCTCCTTCTTCCTGGTGAAGCCCAGGATCTCGCTGGCCTGATCCAGGACCTCCCCTCCCGAGCAGGAGCACGGGGTCTGCATGATGCCACACGGGTGGGAGCTGCTGCTGATGGCCAGGCAGGCGTCCAGCCACTTGCAGAGCATCTGGCAGGCGGCTTTGCTCGGGTTCCTGTTGCCCACCACCAGATACTCCACCGAGAAGTCCCTCTCCTGAGCCTTGGTGGGCTTCCACCGCATGGGCCAGGTGTCCACGCCCGGCGGGGCCGTCTGCTTCATCTGCAGGAATTGTTTGTTGGACTGGAGGAAGGCAAAGCGGGTGGAGCCATCGCAGAGCTTCAACACATCGTCGAAGCTCTCCATGCCCAGGTAGGTGCGGGTGGACTCCAGGAAGGAGTCGAACTGGTAGGTGCGGATGTGCTGGTGGTCACATACGCCAGAGGGTTTGAGGATCTTCATGTACAAAGTGTACCTGCGAGGGTCGGGGTTCTGGATAATCCAAGAGCAGAGAGAGGAGTTCAACGGGAAGACGGCGAAGGAGGAGAAATACCCAAAGAATTTCCCTTGGACCAAAGTGGTGCAGGGAGTTTGTGCCAGGTCCAGAGCGACCACGGTCCACACAAAGTAGAGTGGCGATACCAAAAGCAGGTTCAGGGCGGATCCAATGCTCCTCATCCTAGGTCTCTGGTCCTCTGGAACTCAAAGTAAATGTCAAGCAGGTGCCAGATCCTGGACATAACAGGGACCAGCTGAGAGGAAAAGCAGAGTTTAAGAGGCTCTGGATCTGAAATCAAGCCGATCCTCCCATGTCTGGATTTGAGCTCCCTCCTGTGGCCATAAACAAAACCTGGAAAAAAACAGGGAAGGGAAGGGAAGGAGGAGAGGAGAGAAAGAGAAGAGATTTGGGATTTGGCGGTACTTTGTTGATGTTGCTTTATTTATTAACCCTTCACACGGCTGAGAACCCACACGGCAGCCTCAGTCCCAGCCTTTCTCACGGGGGGAAGATGCAACCCCACATCACCATCCTCAAGCTTGCTTTGGGGGTGTCCAAACCCAGGAGGGGCCCAAAACTGTGACTCACCCGGAGGTGAACATAGCTGTGAGCCTGCTTTCCTTCTCAGTGCCCCCTGACCATGGAGACCCCTCTGCTGAGCCGAGCCCTGACTGTGAATTTGAACCATCTCCCCAAATAAAACAGGATGGATATCTGGCTTAGGGAGCCTCCAGCTCTCTCCATCCCAAGAGAACCAGGATGCTGGTTCAACACTGACTTCAGGCTGCACCTGGGGAGCGTGGGCTGGAGGTCAGCATGGCCAGCTGGGCTCTGCCTCCTCTCTTCCTTCTGCCAGCACTTGTTTTTTAGCCTTTTCTCCCTCCCTTCCACCAAAACATTGCAGGGAAGGGAGTTGTTGCTCAGGAACCCAGCTCTGGTGTAACCCTGTGGCCAGACAGGATAATGGACGGAGCTGCACACCCAGTACAGGAGCACAAAAGGACAAGAGACAGATTTTATGACGTCTCACCTCAGCATCCACCTCTCCTTTCACTCCTGAGTGCAGAACACCCCAAAGCCTGTGGTGCTGTAGCCAGGCTCAGAGCATCTGCAGAGTGGGAGCCCTCTGTGCCAGTCCCAGGACCTCCTTCAGCCCCCAAAACCCTTCATCCAAAGTAGAATCCACCCCACAATGTCCTAAGGATACATTCCCTGCAACTTCTGTGGCACAGATTCCTCCTTCTGCCCAGCTGCCCAGAGCCCTGCTCCCCCCCATGACAAAGAGTCTCCTCTGTGCTAGTGTAAAATCTCCCTCTTTCTTACCCCAAAAAAAGACTCTCCTATGGTTCCTTCCCTCCATCTCCTCTCTTTCCAGGAGAGAAGGGGAAATAAGATCAGTAGTAGGACTTTCCTTATCTTGTATTCCCTCCCACAGCTGTCCACCCCCAGATCTGGGGAGGGGCTCTGTTAGCAGCTGCAGGAGGGGCAGACCCTCGGAGTCTGGAACAGGACTTCTTCCCTGCTGATCGCACAGCCACGGTACCTTTTCCCTCCCTCCTTTCCAGCTTTTCTTCCCCTCTCAGCTCATCCCAGGTAGAGAAAAATCAGGCGTTTCCCCTTGGGTGAGGCTCATCCTGGTCCTGCAGCACTTGCTGCCTCCGGAACAGATCTTCCGTACCATTTCCAAAGGACAAAGGGGAACCTGTGAGGAAGATTTCCCCCTGTCAAGTCAAGACAACTGCCACCATTTCGGGAGAGTTCGCACTTCATAGGCTCAGGGCCTCTGCATTGAAATGCAAACAGCCCAATTCCGGAGGGGCAAACATTGCCCTGGGCTGCAACCTCCAAATAATTCAGATCATCTGGGATGTGTTTCCCATGATCCGGGTGGCACTGCCAGGAAGGAATTAGTGTGAGAGACTATGGAGAGGCACACCTGCATGCAGGGAGGAGGGAAAACTCGTTTTCATTGCGGGCACTGGTGCAGCTCCAGCCCCAGGTGTCCCCAGTGCTGTCCCAGTGCTGCCATCTCCCAGCCCTTGCCAGGCTCTGCCTTCCCCGGCTGCAAACAGAGGGAGCTTCCAGCACAGCCGTACAAATTCCCGGAAAATTCCCAGCAAATCCACAGTTCAGGCAGCTAAACCCAGCCCCAGGAGAGACTGGAAAGCAAGAGATGAGAAGCCCACTGACCATCCTGTGCATATGGGAAGAGGTGAGAAGCTAAATGCACCTCCACATTCACTCAGTTTCTCTCCCTGCTCTGTATCAAAGGCTTGTCCCTTCTGCCAAAATCTTTTCTTTTGGGCAGCAAAGGGTTAGTGAACTCGAAACTCAGACCTGCTATTTTGCAAACTGTGCTTCATCCCAGCTTCAAATCACTGCACCAGATTCCTGAGTGTGTGTTAGACCTGACACTAATCAGCATGAAGTCCAAATGCATTTGGACTTAAATTTTTTACAAGTCAGATCCCCACTCCTGGCTGGTTTGCAGTCTACAAAGCTCGACAGTGCAAACCTCCCCTTGCCAGGCTCCTGCCTGCCTCTGGGGCCAGAATTCGGGAGTGAAAAGGGGATGGAAACCTGGTCTTGCTTGCAAAGAAAAGAACAGGCATCTACCAAACATCTCATAAATTAAATTTCCTGATTAGCAGGAGGGGTTGTCTAAATAGGACCGTGAATGCTTTAAATATTAGACTGAGGAGCTGAAAGGCTCTTGCTTTATCTGAGACTCTGAAAGGGGTCACTGGCTCTCTTAGGGCAATGCTGGAAAAGCTCATTCTGTTTGCAAATCCGACCTCTACCCGACCTTCACCCTGATGAGCCAGCCAGGGATCACAGAATTATGGAATATATTGAGTTAGAAGGGACCCACAAGGATCACAGAGCAGGTTGGGTTGGAGGGGACCTTAAAGATGATTTTGTCCAACTCTCTCTCATGGGCAGGGACACCTTCCACTATCCCAGCTTGCTCCAAGCCCCATCCAGCCTGGCCTTGAACATTTCCAGGGATGGGGAATCGAGAATCAGCCTGTGCAGGGTGTCCCCACCCTCTTGAGTAAAGAATTTCTTCCCAATATCCAATCTAAACCTGCCCTCTGTCAGTGGGAGGCCAATCCCCCTTGTCTTGTCACTCCATGCTCTTGGTAAATAGTATCTCTGTCTTTCTTGTCATCTTAACCTCTGGTCCAGACCAGAAACCTGCCTTTCCTGGTTGGAAGCAGGAGCCAGCAGTGCCTCCATAGCAACCAGATGATGAGGAGACAGGGTTTGTTTTGAAATCCAGTCCCTAATGGTGACTTCAGTGCCTGGGATTCAGCCCAGGCCTCCTGCTCTCCACAAACTCAATTTTTCTCACGCTGACCACAGACCTGCTTCTGTCTGAGGATGTGGAGAGCACAAAACAAATTCCCGCTCACTGCCCATGTCTGGGAAAAGCACCATAAAATCCAACAAACTTTAACCAGACCTGATATGGTTGTTAGGTCTCACAATTGATTTCCCCTCAGTGCAGTCCCATCTGGAAGGTTCCACCATAAGGAGCATAAACATATTCTTTTTTTCTCTTTCAACTAATCCCTGCTGAAGTGGGAATCTTTACTCAGAGCAGGAGTGGATGGGCACAGGCCCCTCCAGACCTGGATCTTTGGCTCAACAGGTGTTGGACCTGGCAGGGAGGGAAGATGCAACAGGCACCTGTGATGCATGTCAGCAGAGATCCATCTCCTTCATTTCCACCCCAGAACAACCCCAAGGGGGACATACAACCACAGGCTACAGCCTGCAGCTGGGGCAGTGATGTTAAATGAGTGAGAAAACAGATCATTGCAGTGTTGGAGGTCACATTTCCATGGCACACAGTCAAATTTACCCCCATTCCCTTGGCTTTCCCCATTGTCAGTGTCTAGGTAGCCTGGCTGTTTCAGGAATTTTGAGTGATGGGAGACATCCCTGCCTGGTCCCATCCTTTGGCTCCAACTTAGAGCACACAACACGTCCCCTAACCTTTCCTTCCATCTCTGCCTGGGTGCTGGGTCTGGCAGAACAAAGCCTGGGGACAGCTGGTGACGTTGGAGCACCTTGGGCTGTCCTTGCCTGCATTTCTCAAGGACAAGCCAAAATATTGTTGCTTTCATGTGTGTGTGTCCCTGGAAAAAATAGTTTTTCATTCCAAAAAAACACAGAAAAAGGCTGAAAAGTTTGGTCTGAATGTTCCTTCTGCCTTGGTTACCTTGTGCAGGTGTCAGGGGTGACAAAGGAGGGGATTATGAAGAGCTGTGAACCTCCAGCCAGGCTCCTGCACCCTCACACAACGGGGCACAGCCCTGGCAATTTATTCTACCTCCTTGCTGAGCATTTGCCATCCCACTCTGGCATCCACTGGATCAGAAATCCACTGGCACAGACCTTCACAGCTCAAATCAAAACCGCAGGTTATACCTGGGCTGCCCAGGGGGTTTAGGCTTCCAATTTGCGCTGGCCCCAGTGAATTTTGGAGCCCAAGGGGTTTAGGCATCCAGTTTACACTGGTTCCAGGCAATTTTGGAGCTCAAGGAGTTTAGGATCCAGTTTGCACTGGTCCTAGGGAATTCTGGAGCCTGCAAGCCTTAGAATAATCAAATTATTAAGGTTGGAAGAGATCTCCAAGGCCACCAAGTCCAAGCTTTGGCCACACACCACCATGGTGGGCCCTGTCTTCCTGCAGGAATGACCCAGATCTGAGGCTGGATTTTGTCACCACCCTCGTGTTCCTGTTTGGTTCCTGCACAAATTCTGCACGCCCAGAGCCATCCTGGGGAGTCAGGCAGTGTGGGATGTGTGAGCAGGGATCAGGACACCCCTGACTGTACCCACAGCAGCCTTCACCCTCTGCCTGAATGGCCCCACAGGCTGATTCACCCCATCCCACCAAGGTGGACACCTCCAAGCTGGTGTGCCCAGTTCTGCAGCTGTGCCCAGCCCAGAGATTTCAGCTCTGCCTGAGCAGGAGGAGCCTGCAGGATGCTGGCAGTGCTGCCACGTCCTGCTCTCCAAAGTCCCTGCATGGCACAGTCCTCCCACGAGGGAAGGGTGACATCCCTGGTGGAGCATCCCTGTGCTGGTGACATCCTGGAGCAGCAGCCTGGATGTGGCCAATGGAGGGCACTCTTAGACATGCACACAAACCCACAGGCTCACAAAC